ATTCTATTTCTTAACTGAAAACTGATTCTGAGTGAGATTTGAATATCATCAGATAATTGTAAAGAAAAAGATGTTTTCTAGCTATTTTCAAAGCTTTCTTGACTCATGAAAATGGCAATCATCATGTCTATATCACACCACTATAGGCATGCAAACATACAACCTAATGGAATTTCAGAGAAATTCAGAAGGAAATTCATGTGACTTTTTACTTTTTTCTCTAACATTTTCATTTCCCTTTTGCTTTGAAGAGAATAATGGGCAGGAGAATCAAGATTCCTCTGAACTGTCCCAAGTGATCAGTGCTAAAGATGGAACAGAGAAGTTTGGAATTCAAATCAAATTCGAAAGCTGTGAGAGAAACCAGTCAAAGAATCGGAATCAGGAAAGCTCATCTTCCACTGATGCTCCAATGCAAGACTTTCTTGCCCAACAAGAGAAAATAAGGAAAAAATACACTGGAAAAAGTGTGAAGCTAATCAAAGCTAAAGTACAAGTAAATGAACACTATTTAACCCAAAACAAAGGAGAAGATGCTATAAGAAGGCAGAATGGAAAAAATTACAATGGGACTTTCATTCCTTCTCTTGGGAATAACTTCCATACAGCTCAAAAAGTGATTGACACAAAAGAGAAACCTTATAAATGTTCGGAATGTGGAAAATGTTTTAGAACAGGCAGGCTACTTACTATCCATAAAAAGATCCACGTAGGAGAAAAACCATATAAATGCACAGAGTGTGGAAAGACGTTTACTTGTAGCAGTGGCCTTAGAAGACACAAAAAGATCCACACAGGGGAGAAGCCATTTAAATGCATGGAGTGTGGTAAGACGTTTACACTTGGTACTGGCCTTACAAGTCACCAAAAGATCCACTCAGGAGAGAGACCATTTAAATGCACAGAGTGTGGAAAGACCTTTGCTCAGGACAGTGATCTTAAAAGGCACAGAAAGATCCACACAGGAGAGAAACCATTTAAATGCATGGAGTGTGGAAAGACCTTCGCTCGAAGCAGTCATCTTATTTCCCATAAAATGATCCACACAGGGGAGAAGCCGTTTAAATGCATGGAGTGTGGGAAGACATTTATTGATGGCAGTGGACTTAGAAGCCACAAACAGTTCCACACAGGAGAGAAACCCTATAAATGCATGGAATGTGGAAAGACCTTTGCTTATAGCAATACACTTACTATCCATGAAAGGATCCACACAGGGGAGAAACCATATAAATGCATGGAGTGTGGAAAGA